TTGCAAGCTACGTGCACGGATAGAATTCACAATTTTTGTTGCAATGCCCATAATTTCCTCCATGTTTAAAACTTTTGAACACAAAACTTGTTGATGTATAATGCATGGAATGAAAAAAATGAAGGAAATTCTTCATTAGGTCGACACAATGCCACAAAACCGTTTTTGTTTCCAGTCATTGCTGGTGCTCCATCGCATCGGTTGTAATGCACATTAATTTATATTTTGGTAGCTCGTAGTTTTTTACAAAATTTAAGAAAACGTCATATATATCTTCGCCACGGGTCTTCCACTTCAGAGGAATGATTGTCAAAAATTCTTCCTTAGCCAACATGTCACTGAATACCATCCGAATAAAAATACACAGCTGGGCAGTGTCTATCATATCGATGAATTCGTCGAACTGTAAAGAAAAGTATGTACATTCCAGGATATCATGTTTTAGTTTATCTGCGATGTCTTGACTCATGACTTCAATACACCTTGTGACAGTCGGACGAGATAACTGAAGTTCTCTAATAGCAGACACGATTTCTGTTTTATTTTTAAAATCTCCAAATAAAGTCTCACCCGCTTCAATAAATGCTTCCTTCACCACCGATCCATCTTCAAATGGTTTCTTGTGTTTCGCCAAAATATGAGATATTTTAAATGACGCGATCGTAGCAGCTTTTGATTGTTTGGCTGGTCTTGTGAACATGGATTGTTCTTTTTTCAAACAAGATATCAAATCACTTACTTTTCGTTTTCTTAATTCACTCTGTGGCGGAAAATCCTTTTCATAGTTTTTATGAACCGTTTTATGATGCCTCTCTAAGTTACCACACTTAGGTATTGCAACTGACGCACGACAAATAATACAAATGCACTTATCTTTCACCATAGAAAAGAAAAATTCTTCCTCCCAATCCTTATTAAAATGATACGTTTTAGATTTTTTCACTACACTCATTTTCCACTATTTAATAATAAACTTTGTATTGACGTAGGATGGCTATCAAGTTACAATTCGAAATAACTCCAATTCCTACAGGCGCAACATTTATATCGGCGTGAACGAAAGTCTCGAATGTTTCTATCTGTCGTGAACATCTGCATTAGCACGACTATCAATGGAGTGAGGTATTATTCTCCGATGAAAGTAGGATCTGCCTACATGGCAACGACAAGAGGCGTCGAGTCTATAGAAGGCCAGGAGAGTGATTTGCTCAATTTTGTATACGACAAATTGTGTCATGAAGGTGGTTCTTGTATGTTTTGGGCAAGCAGTTCTATATATGGGAAAACCGAGTTGATTTTCGTTCCTATTGGAGGACGTGAAGGAACTTTAACGGCAGATCATAATATCAGATACATTTTGAAGGAACATGTGGTTTCATACGCGCGATTTATTGGTGATGGCTTTAATGTACGATAATGCACGATGCCATATCGTACGAGTCACCAATACCTATCTATCTGAGATCGGTATACCTACAATAAATTGGCATGCCTTAAGCCCGGACATATATTCAATAGAGCATGTTTGACATAAGCTTAAACGAAGGGTCCGGTACAGAAATTATGCACCAAGGAGCATAATAGAATTAAGAGCAGCGCTTAATGATGAATGGGAATCAATGCCTCAATAATTTATTAGAAAAGTCATCCGATCCATGCGAAATCGATTAGAAAGTGTAATTAGGAGTAAGGGTGGTAATATCAAATACTAAATAATGAAGAAATTTATGTTGTAATTGATTACTTCTCTGTTCATAACGTCTTTCTTGCGTTAGTTCCAATGATGAATATTTAGGAAATTCTGTTTGTATTGCATATTGTTTTTATAATGCGTCTTCCAAATAATTCAATAGCAGTTTTTGTAAGTTCAATAATAAAGTTATTGTTTGCAGATTACATTTTTTTATTTTCCTACTTTCATACATTGAAACAGAAGGTGTAATCTCAAATATCGATTTTGAGTCGATTATTTTGCAGTCAAGTGTATATGAACATATATTTAATTAAGAAATATATATTTATCAAGTATAATAAATCGACTGGTCCAACGAAGACTGTAGTAACTCAAATTTTCCACTTTTTGAGTTACGAGCGCAAAACAATAAAACATAATGATATCTTCTCCAGGAAAGAATCGTATCTCAGTAAACGTAGTTATGCAACCAATATTATGTGTAAGAGTTTTATAGTATCTCCGATTTATGAAAAACAACCGTAGAAAATCATCGTATCTTGAGTTACAATAGTCTTCGTTGTTATCTGAGGCGATAGCATAGGTATCGTAACATGAGTTACTACAGTATTCTGCGTTAGTTTAGGGTTATGTTCAAAAGTTTAGTTTTGTTATAATTGCCATAATGTGTTCCAGAAGTGAGTTAATATTGGAATTAGCTGAGAAAGCGTATAAAAACATGCGCAATGCCAATGAGGCATTTACCTCATTTTTGTTTAATTTTAGTAGGCTTAGAAGAGAATGAAGCCAATAGGAATGAAAATGAAATAATTAAGAAGGAAAGCGATGAGGAACCATTTCATGCAGACTCTGATACTGACCCAGATTACATTCCGACAGAAGACAAAAACATCCCTGAAGTAATAATTGAACCTAATAAGAATGTAACTGAAGAACATGAAAATCGAAAAGGTATTCAAATTAAAGGAAGACAGATGGGTGCACCATGCGCAAACACATGTAGACTAAAATGTGCTACCAAAATAGCTAAAGAAGATAGAGATCTTTTTTCAATGAATTTTGGAAGTTAAAAGATCATACGAGAAAGTGGGATTTTATTGCTCGTCATGTGAGACAGTTTGCTAAAAAACAAGTAACTATTACTGCAGAACAACGGTCTCGAAGAAATTACTCTCGAGAATATTACTCCTACAACGTGTTTGCAAAACAACGTGTTTGCAAAACCATGTTTTTGGAAACCCTTAACGTTTCAGAAACTTGGATCACTACAGTATTAAGGAAACTGAAAGATGGTGGATCATTAGAGGAAGATAAACGTGGAAAGCACACTAACAGACCACATAAACTATCACCAGAACTTATAGACAACGTAAAAAATCACATAAATCAGTTTCCTGTAGTACCCTCCCATTATACCCGTAAGAATACGATGAAGATGTACCTTGAAGAAAGGCTAACTATCCAGAAAATGTACCGATTGTACAACGAGCATTGCGAAAAAAATAATATCACTACAGCTGCCAAGTCACGCCAGTATAGAGATATTTTCAATGAACAGTTCAATATTGGGTTCTTTAAACCAAAAAAGGACCAGTATACTGTTTGTTCTGTTTTTAATATAGCTAGTGATGCTGAAAAAGCAAAATTGCTCGAACAATATGAGTCCCATCTGAAAAACAAAGAAGTTATCAGAAACTTAAAAGACATAGACAAACAGCTTGCACTAGATGATAAGAGCTTGTGTGTGGCTTGCTTTGACCTTCAAAAGGTTTTAGCTATCCCTTTGTCTAACGTAAGTGATTTTTACTACAAAAGCAAATACTCTAGATATAACTTTACAGTTTATAATGTTGGAAATAATCAGGGTTACTGCTATGTATGGCACGAGCAGGTGGCTAAAAGAGGTCCTAATGAAATTGCCAGTTGCCTCTGGAAATTTTTAGATCTCAAGGCACAACAAAGTGTTAAAACGATAATATTCTACTCAGACAACTGTGGGTGACAAAATAGGAATCGTTTTGTGTTTTCGATGTTTGCTTTTGCTGCTGCTCATTTTCATATTGATATTGTTCACAGATTTCTGGAAAAAGGCCACACTCAAAACGAGGGTGACAGTATGCATGCTGTTATCGAAAATGCAAAGAAAAGACAATCGGTTGTATATGTGCCAGAACAGTGGGTTACATTAATTAGAATGGCTAAAACTACAGGAAGAGTTTATGATGTTACGGAAATGTCCCAAGATAATTTTTTTAATTTTAAAAAACTGACTGATACCGAGAATTGGAAACTTGACAACGAAAAGAAATCAATAAAAGTTAGTAAAATACGAGAAATAAAATTTTCGCATGAACACCAAAATTCTATAATGTTTAAATACGAATTCGATGATGGTTTTAGAGGTTGTGACATAAAATTAAATCGAAAATGCAGAGAACGGCCTTCCACTACTATCAAATTTCCACCGAAACTGTATGATGCACCATTACCAATTGAAGAAAAAAAGCTAAAAGGATTACTGTGGCTGTGTAATACCGGCAAAATACACACAATGTACCATGGATTTTATAAAAATCTTAATTCAAAGAGTTATGAGTTATGTACCTCCTAAAGTGGAGCTCGAAGTTGATTCAGTTGAGAGCGAAGAAGAGTCGGATGAGGAAAATTGAATTAAAATATAAAACTGCAAATTATATCAGTAGCTTCTTAAAAATGTAGCATTTTATATAAATAAAGTTAAGAAACAAATAATTTTGGTATTTATTACTTTAAAAATATCTCCATCGAAACCTATAGTAACTCATTCAAAAGTCACTTATGACCATTTCTGTCTTAAATCTGTTTTATCCTTGTAAGATCATTATTAAAAGTATCACTTAATGCTATAAAAACATCCATTTAATAGATTAATGAATTTTGGTAACAGCGTAAATACATTTTTATAATTATCTCAATTACATAAAAAATGAGTTACTACAGTCTTCATTGGACCAGTCGAAATGCACCATAAATAAAGTTTCTTAGACTAAAAGTGTTATTATAGATATTATGAAGTAGGAATCAAATAATATCACAATAAGAGAATGAGAAAACGATAAATAAAATAAGTATGACACAAAACACAATGATAAAAAGATGAATTTAGAAAGATGTTACAGAAACCACACATCGTATTTGAGGTGTAGAAAGACATTTGTTAAAAAGGAAATACTACTAAAAATAAAACATAAAGAACAGTTATAAACTAATAGCCTTTGTCTATGTAATGGACTTAAAATGTTTAATCTTATTGAACAGGTATACTGACCTCTGATTTTTTTTTACAAATCAACTAATTTTGCAGTCACTGGACTGTAATAAATTTTTATGTTTAATACTTTGTATAAGCTTCGAATATATAAGTATTGTTAAAATTTATAATCGTCACTGACATCGATCAAAGCGACAGACAACATGACAGAAAGTTTCGAAATGATCAGTGTATATCTAAAGGGGCATTTGAATATAAAAATTCTGCACAAAACAACGTTGATATGAATTATACAGTGTGGAACCCACTTATGTAATAAAAATGTTTGTATCCTTATTTAAGAAAATATAAAAAGCTCTGAGATCCGTCAACTTTTAAATATAAAAGTGCGCTTTTTAAACATAAATTTAAATGTGGAGGGTGATTTACGCCATTCTAGCATATATCGTCATGAGGGGTGCCAAATCCGTTATGTGAATTTTTAAATTTTTTTTCAAGTATGTACAGAATTTACCAGTCTTTCAACGATAAATTAATACAATATAAGGTTGAATGTTCGAATAAATGAACTTTGATGGTACACAAGGCAAATATCGAACACAGTATTTAATTAAATCTTGCCCAAGTACTTTCGATCACAAGATCATCCTCAGGGGCATTTCGTCAATTGTGGCCTATCCAGCAATAACCGAATGTCATACATGTAAACTGGGACATAACAAATACACTAAAGACAAACAAACACTTTAAAATTTAAATTGGAGAAGCTACATTTTTATATTATAGAAGCCGATCATTCTGTCTCCGGCTTCTATAATATAAAAATGTAGCTTCTCCGATTTAAATTTTAAAGTGTTTGTTTGTGTTTAGTGTATTTGTTATGTCCCAGTTTACATGTATGACATTCGGTTATTGCTGGATAGGCCACAATTGACGAAATGCCCCTGAGGATGATCTTGTGATCGAAAGTACTTGGGCAAGATTTAATTAAATACTGTGTTCGATATTTGCCTTGTGTACCATCAAAGTTGATAAATTAATACCCTACCACAGCCAAGAATCTACTGAATATTATATAACACCTTTTTATCACTGCTGTGTTTGGTAATAAAGAATTTCATTTTTTATGTATTTTGTTTTTTACAGGAACTATGAGTTCTGCTTCACAGCGATCCAGACTATTGCTAGACCTAGCAGTAGGTAGAAGAAGTATAGATTCCAATATCCCTTCAACGTCGAAGATATCAATTTTATCTGATGTTTCCATATCTGATATTTCCATATCCAAATCTTATGATCTTTTTATACAGGAAACATACTTTTTACGGTACAGAAAATTGCCAATCTGGTGAATTGGATCTAGCTCCTATAAAAACGTCTCCTTCCAAGTATGCTCCATTTGGAAAGACAACAAATGAGGTTCATTGTGGTGATCAGATTGATGTACCAACTTGTGAAGAATCGGAAGTTTTGGAGTTCACTTCAAAGCCCCCACCAAACACTTGTAATTTAAATCATATATTGGAAACCGGGTGCAATAGTCACGTATTACCACAGATACCTACAGGTGAATTCATTATAGATGCAGAGACTGGCATTTTCAAACTCGTAGATGTTAGAGAAATTGTCGACTCGAACAATTGTTACTTGGATGAAGTCAGTGGTCTATTTTTACCGAACGAACCATCTGAGGTACCTGAAAACTTCGATATAGACGATAATAGCGGCTCCGAGACTTCCGATACTGACAATGTTTCTAAAAATCGAAATAAAAATAAGATACAACGGATTCTAGGTCAAAAATACAACAGCCGTAAAAGGAAATGCATTGCTGATGACAACAGTAAATCCAAGTCTTACTATGACCTGCATACAGGAAGGTCTATAAAAAATAAACAATGCTTACATTCTGCAACCGCTAAGTCTGATAGGAGCTTTCTCTGCAGTTTGATATCAGAAGACAGACGGCAATCCCTTTTCAAATATTTCTGGTCTCTTGGTACCTGGGAAGCAAAGAAAGCATACCTTAAAAATCTTATCCGCATGCGCCCCGTGATCAGACGACGTAAAGAGTGTGTCACTGATAATCAGCATAAAAATTTAGCATTCGACTATTTGTTTCTAGACGACGAAAATATACCTGTAAGAGTCTGTAAAAACTTTATAATGCACACGTTAGACTTGCAGGCTGAAACCATCACGGAATGGATCAAGACGTTTCAGGCGGAACAACCTGAAAATGGGACAAACCAAGATTTGAGAACTAGACATCAAAAGCGAACGACCAAGACAATAACGACTATGACTAATAATGCAGAAAAGCAGCAATCTGTTAAGGAATGGTTAAATTTATTACCAAAAGTAAGCAGTCACTACTGTCGGGCATACACTAACAGGATGTACGTTGAATACCTTCGAGAGTAAGGCTCACATGCACCGGATCTATCTTATTTGGTATCAAGACAACACAAAACCAAAAGCTAGCAAAAGGGTCTTCTACATGGTATTAGAATCAGAAAAGGTTTCCATCTTCAAACCTCGGAAACACCAGTGCGATGTGTGTGTTTCCTACAAAGAACGACATACATCCGAAGAAGATTACAAACTTCACATTCTGAAAAAGAATAAAGCTATGATTGCTAAATCAGACGCTCTAAGCTTGACGGTCTTTTCAGACGTATTGGTTATTACTATGGATATACAAAGCGTCCTACTGTGTCCAAAAATATTAGTTTCTGTTCAATACTACAAGCAGAAATTGCAACTGCCCAATTTTTCTATATACTTAAACAACACACAAGATGTACCCCTATACGTATGGCATGAGGCGAATGGTGGAGTTACGTCCTATGAATTCACAAGCTGCATCGTAGTTTTCTTAAAAAAGCAAACGGCATATAAAAAGTTCATATTAATTTCAGACGGATGTTCCTACCAAAACAGGAACAAAGTCTTGGCGTCTGCTTTGGCAAACCTCTCGAAGACCCAAAATGTCGAAATAGAGCAAATAATACTCAAAAAAGGACACACAATGATGGAGGTCGACAGTGTACATTCTACGCTAGAGAAGAAATTCGGGCCACCAATTTATGCTCCTGTCAACTATGTAACTAAAATGACCGAGGCCAGACCAAGACAACCATATAATGTGCATTATTTAGACTACACGTTTTTCAAAGACTATGAGAAGGTTTGCAATTATGATTCTATCAGGCCCGGAAAAAAAGCTGGAGACCCTACCGTGAATGACATCAGAGCTTTGCATTACACAGATGGTGAAATATATTATAAACTACGTCAGCCAGATGACTGGCAGAAAATTCCTGAGCGTGTGCGAGTAAACAGTAATAGCTTGAAATCTCTGGATACTGAAGCTCGGAAAATCGAAGGTACAAAATTCGAGAATCTCTAATCATTGAAGCAATACCTGCACTCTGACTATCATGGCTTCTACGACAGTCTAACTCACCTTTAGTTCTTATACCAAACTGATAGTGTCTGCTTTGTGTGTAACTGGAGATAAGTATTTTTATCGTTAAGTGATTTTATATTATAAAGATTTTGATCTCGGAATTGGTTCTGATTAAATTTTTGCTATGAAAACATTGTGTAGTTTTTTTTATAATTAATCTGAGGCAATTTTCTTGTAGATTTTAACAAATAGCGGTCAAGTTTAGCGGTAAATTTAGCTACGTGCAAATCCTTCATGTGCGTACTATCACATGTAGGAGACTTGTAATACCTAAAAAATCCGTTATGTGCAGATTTTGAGAAAAAAAAATTCTGGTGCATAAGTTTTTTGTTTATATGTAAAAAAATTACATTGGATATATGCAAAAAGTTAATTTTTGGCATTAAAATTTTTTTCATAGTAGTAGAATAAAAATAAAACAGTATTTTTGCTCTCCTGAAAAGTTACCGTTTTTCACATAACGGATTTGACACCCCACATGACGATATTTCATCATCTTTATGCTAGCATTTTTGTGTTTTTAGAAGTTCCTTAATAACCTGATCTCAATGAACTATATTACGTAGAGTCTACTATAAATAATACAAGGTGAAATTTTGAAAGTTGTATTTTTTTTAAGACATTAAAATAAATACTTAAAATGTTCTTCTTTTTCTTGTTGTTGGTAATAACAAAGTGTCGTATAAAACTTATCGAAATCGTATAGAAATATTTCTGTAGTTATCCGTTCTTTAAGGTCTCCCACGCTAGTTGGCTGTGTTGTCATATACAGTGTGGAAACCACTTATGGAATAAAATTGTTTGTGTCCTTATTATAGAGACTAATAAAAAAACTCTGGGACACGTTAATTTTTAAATTTAAATGTGCGCTTTTTAAACATAAATTTATAGGGCAGGGGCGTCCAACTTAATCGGACTCGGCATCTACTTGTCTGCCTTTCTAATTCTCTGCGATATACCGACTCTCTATTTCTCTATTTCTTGCAACACCTAGAGTTGGAGAGTTGTTATTTTCCCACTATTATTTGTTAGATTTTCAACAGAGAGACAAGATATTTTTTGTAATAAGCTGATATGATTATTAAACTAACATTTAAGAATACATTTTTCTGCCAAAAATAGACGTCTTAAATGTAAAGTTGACTCGTTACATTCTGCCAAAAGAGCTGGTGTGGGAGTAGATTTGAGGTCTCCTAGGACTAACCTTTGTAAAGTATTCGACCTAATGCTTTGTAATGTACTCGATCCCATTTAATCAAACGAGATTTTGTCGCTGATCAATAGAAGAGGATTCCATAGTCAAAACTTGATTTGGTATGTGCTCTGTTAAATAATAAGTTTATTTTCGGAAACAAAAACGAGAAAATTTCTGAAAGACAACCCTGATATTATAGTAACAAGTGCAGACAAAGGTAACACTACAGTCATAATGGACAGAAACGAGTACATCACCAAATCATTTGAACTTCTCAATGACCCACATTCCTATAAAAAAATCCCCAAAGATCTGACTCCATCGGTAGAAAGAAACACTAACTTACTAATAAAACAACTACATGAAGAAGGATATATTACCACCAAAACAAAAAAAGAATTAACCAATTACACCGGTACCACCCCAACATACTATGGACTTCCAAAAATTCACAAAGAAGGGTGCCCTCTACGTCCTATAATTGCTTGCAAGAATGCCCCCACTCAATCCTTGGCTA